TGAAAAGCCCCTGGTCTGCCAGAGGTGGGAGCCATGCCATTGTGAATTGGGTGTCAGGTGTACTACCCCCACCTCTGGAAGCAGGTGAACTCTCTGCCTCGTCAGACCAGCAGATTGTAAAATGGTACAACCATGATAGAAAGCAGCAAGGCAGTGCCTCAAAAAGTTGGAAATAGAAATATCGTTGTTGTTATTGTGTGCTGTTGAGTCGGTCCCGACCCATAACAACCCTTTATAGGGTTTTCAAGGAACAGATGGTAAGCTTGAACCACCAACCTTGTGGTTCAAACCAACTTTGCAGTCCAGTGCAGTAACTCACTGCGCCACATGGTGGTGGTGGTGTTATGTGCCGTGGAGTTGGAACCGACTCAAAGCGATTCTGTGTAGGGTTTCCAAGGCTGTAAATCTTTATGGGAGCAGAAAGCCTCATCTGCTGGTAATTTCAAACTGCTGACCATGAGATTAAAAGCCCGACTCATAACCACTACGCTACCAGAGCTCCACCACTTATGACTGATCAAGCTCTCTACTTGGTATATATCCTAAAGAAATAAAAGTCAATACACATATGTATATATAAACTCCCATGTCCATCACAGCACTATTCACAAGAGCAAAAAGATGGAAACAACCAAAGTGCCCACCAATAGAAAACGGACAAACAAACCTTGGGACATACACACAATGGAATACTATGCAGCATTAATAAATAATGATGGATCTGTGAAATGCATCATAACATGGATGATCCTGGAGGAAGTGAAATCAGGCAATCACCAAAATGGCAAATATTATATGAGACCATTACTATAAAATATCACAAAAAGACTTTTACACTAAAAGAAACATACTTTGATGGTTACCAGGGGTGGGAGGGAAGAGGAAGTAGGTCACTGGCTAGAGGGTAGACATGTATTAACTTGAGTGAAGGCGAAGACAATATACAATAAGAGTAAGGTTGGCAAAAGAATGATGACTGCATGGGAGGGTATGAAAGGAGAGCAGGAGTTAAGGGCAACAGAGGTAAACATTGTTCTACGCACAATCCTGCATTAACAGTGATCTACGGTAGATAGATGGACAGACACACAGGCTGAAAGAATGTGGGACGGGAAGTGGGCGTATACCCACAAATACATTTATAGGTTTGTACATGGGTATTTACCTTTCTACAAATATATCCATGAATATGATGGAGCATACAGGGGGCAAAGTTATGAAACTGTCTTAGACATAACCAAACACCTCAAGGGAAGGAGTCTCTGCACCTGGGGCTCAGGACCAAGGTCTCAGGAAACACAAAAGTCAAATGGCATAATATAGTCCACAGAGACAATGTTCAACATCCTATTTTGGTGACTATTGACTAGGGTCTTAAAACTTTGTGAGCGGTCATCAAAGGTGCAACTATTATCTCTCCCTGTACAAAGGAAAGAAGAAGGAAGGAAACGGAAGATGCATGGAAACAATTAATCCAATGGATTACTGGTGGATCACCTGACCATCAGCCTCCATGCCCCTAAGGCCAGAAGAACTAGAGGGTGCCTTGCTACCTCTACCAATTGTTCTAAGACAGGTCACTTGAGAAGGTCCTGGATACAGTGTGCAAAATGGCATGGAAGTCAGCTCTGACCTCCTCCAGCTTCACATGGGGGAAGGAGAATCACACTCTACATCAGTCCAAGGCTGATTCCTATGAGGTAGAGGAGAGTCATTCCTCCACCCTCCAACCTTCTTTACCCTATCCTGACACCAACCATTCCTCTCAAGCCTCTGCTTTTCTGTTAGGTTCAATAATTCATTGCATTTGGCCACACAGAGCTCACAGATAACACTCACGATGATGGGGTTTATTAGGAAAGTTGTTGCTGGTAAGTGCCATGGAGTTGTTTGCGACCCATAGCAACCCTGTATAGGGTTTCCGAGGAATGGCTGATGAGTTTGAACTGCAGACCTTGTGGCTCAAACTGACTTTGCAGTCTGACGCACTGACCCACTGTGCCACACCAGGACTACTTTGTTGTTAAGTGCCATCGAGTCAGTTCCGATCCATAGCGACCCTGTATAGGGTTTCCGAGGAGCAGCTAGTGAGCTTGAACCACCAACCTTGCAGTTCAAAAGGCTTTGCAGTCTGGACCATTAACCCACAGTGCCACACCAGGACTACATTAACAGGGTGCAATTCAGGATCAGAAACAACTCAGGATCCAGCAGTTCTCCAGTCAGATGCAACCCTTCTCAGCCATGCCTTTCTCTAGTCCTCAGCCTTTCAGCCACATGGTCCTTTGGCGTCTGCCCTATTCTGGCAAGTTTCATAAGCTCCTTTAGCTCTGTTGATGAATGCCCAAAGGGCACCCAATTCCACAAGCCAGCCTCCAGCTCAAAGACACTCAGCTTGAGTTTGTTCCAAGGGCCTGAAAGCCCACTGCTCTGTCTCTCCTTGCTGCTGCTTCTGTCACTGCCACCTCTGCTACCTCAGCTTCTCGGCACAGGGATCATGAGATCCAAAGGAAATGCTCCACTCTTGGGTCTTCTTTCTTGATGGTCCTGGGGTTGTCTGTTTCTCTTTTTGAGATGGTTCCTTTCAAACCTGCAGAATGTCAACTCAACCAATCCCCAAGTTAGAGTCCCATACACTGATTTCAGCACTCATCTGTGAATTTGTCGTACTGTGGTGGCTTGCATATTGCTGTGATTCTGGAAGTTGTGCCACCAGTGTTTTACATACCAGAAGGGTCACACATGGTGGACAGGTTTTAGCTGAGCTTCCAAACTAAGACAAACAGGAAGGAGAGACGGACTATTTCGAATAATTACTCACTGAAACCTTATGAATAGTAATGGAACACTGTCAGCACCAGGTTACTGAATATTGAAATATGAAGAAGAGCACCAGAATATTGTCAGATATAGTGCCAGAAGATGAGCCCCTCAGGTTGGAAGGTACTCAAAATATGACTGGGGAAGAGCTGCCTCCTCAAAGTAGAGTTGACCGTGATGACATGAACGGAGCAAAGCTTTCGGGATCTTTATTTGTTGATGGGCACAACTCAAAATGAAGAGAAACAGCTGTAAACATCCATTTTTAAAAATACAAAACATGAAGATATGGAAAATAGATACTAAGACATTTTATTTCTCATAAGAATTGCTGATATAACCCCGACAATGTTCAATAGACTTCTGTGAACCCAAGTCAAGACCTGGTTGGCCAGCAGTGTGGCAAGACCTGGGGACTCTTAGGCCCAGAGTCAGTGACATAGCCACAGAGGACTAGAGTGGAGAGAGAAGCGTCCAGCTGATAAGAAGAGAGGGCATATGCACAAGAACACCCACACTTGCAGATAATACCCACTTGACCTGGCTTCAATGACTGGATGATCAGAGCTCAACCAGAAGAAGAAAGAAAAGGAAAAAAATGTATTCTGATACAATTTGATGAACTTGACCTACAAAAGAGGGAACAAGTCCTTACAGCAAGAATCATTCCCACCCCCTCCATACACAGAGTAGACAGGGATGGGCAACTTGGACATTGGCTACCCAAACTGAGGGGGACTACAAAGGTAAGAAGTGACTGGCTTACGAGCTTTCAAGAGGAAACCTAGATTCAGAGGACATGAAGGAAGGTAGAATCTGTCTAGGCAGGGCTGATGAAATGAAACGCGAATGGGTCTCTTGTGATACAATAGTGAATAATTGTTATCAGAACTGCTTGTGAGGGTTGGAAATGTAAAGATAGATGTTTTGTAGCAAGGAGGGGAGTGATTAACTTTTCAGTCTAGGAGCGATGTCCCTGAGACCATCAAGAGAGAAGAGCAGAGAGCGGGACCCTACCCAGAGAAGCAGTGATGCCTGAGATGGAGGCAGAGACGATGATGTGGAGAGATGGAGCAGTTGGGGGACGTTAGACCCAGAGAGGGAGAGGGGCTGTGTGCTGACAACCAGGGGTTCAGGCTTGTAGTGTATACACTTTGGTTGGTTGATGATGCATGGAGGAGATTGTAACCATGGCAATGAAATGATATATGATAGGATGATTGTAAAACTAATGTTCTCCTACATAAACTATCACATAATTCACAATAAAACATTAAAAAAAAAAAAAAAGACACATTAGATCATTAAAAAAAAAATTGCTGATACAGGACAAAGAAGAGAAGATGACTGTTATATCTTTTTAGTGTCATGTTTCTGGAGAAATGTTCTTTCACTTTTTAAAAATTTGCATAATTTAAAGTTCACCATGTTCTTTCTCTGATGTATCTAACCTATGAACAAATATACTTAAAAATAAAAACTTTTCCCATTGATGCCTAAGAGTATGTAGTATAAAAAGATGGCACTGTTGCATCGCTCTGTAGGCTGCTTCACAACCACATGAGAAAGTCAACTGGGAAAGAGAAACTGAGTAAGCCTATGCTCAATTCCATGTGAAAGGTTTGTAAAACAGGGACATAGAAACTGACCCATCTGAGTGATCGCGGCAACACGCTTATATTACATCTAAATGACAGTTATATAAAATGCCATGCTTTGTGGTTTACTATGGTGTTCAGTTAAAACCCACTGCCACCGAGTGGATGCTGACCCTGAATAGGATTTCCCAGGCTACAAATCTCTACTGGAGCAGAAAGATTCATCTTTCTCTCATCAACTGGCTGGGGGGTTTAAACTGACAACCTTGCAGTTAGCAGTCCAGTGCTTATTGTACAGTATCAACAGCGCTCCTTATAATATTCAGTTGTTGTTGCTAAATGCCTTCAAATTGATTCCAATTCATAGCCACACTGTAGTTTCTGAGGCTTTTAAATCTTGATGGGGGCAGAAATCCTCACATTTCTCCAGCATAGATAGGGTTATTTCAAATCTAACGGGGAAAAGTTCTGTTTTTTACATGCTATCTAGTGTACATTTTCCAAATAGAGACACTCAGTTTAGGAGAGGGGAAAAAAAGAGGGAGAGAGAGGAAGATGGAAGAAAAAAACGACTTTTCTTACTTGGATTGTGCGAGACAGCCTGGAGCGACCATATTGTGGTTCTCCCCAAACGGCTGCAGTACAGTGAGATCGACCATGTTAACCATCACATCGGTCGTGTGGCCTGGAAGCTGGGGCAGCACTGAGATGACCTTCTCAATAATGTTGTCTCCATGATGTCCAACTGCGCCTGTTGAAGCAGATGATACAACGTTAACTCACAAAATGGGAGGGAAAATGAAACTGTGTATTTCATAATGTAACCAAAAATAACATATTTTTTGTAGTTGTTTCTGCTATGTAATTCAGTAACAAAAATCTAGTATTTTGCCCTTTGCAATACTAATCAGACTCACAATTTTACAGTCAATTTCTGCTTCCTTTTTGAGCTCAGTGTCTATTCTGATTACTCCTCTATCCTCAGAACATAGCTCTGCATATGGTTGGCATCTATCAGCATTTACTGAGGATATCAAATGAATGATCAGCATAGAGTCAGACTGGTAAATAGTGTTATAGGGTGATGTGCTGTTGTGCTAAGTGCCTTCGAATCGATACCAACCCATAGTGACCCTATGCATAACAGAACAAAACACTGCCCAGTCCTGCACCAATTGTTGCTACACCTGAGCCTATTGCTGCTGCCACTGTGCCAATCCATCTTGTTGGGAGGCTTCCTCTTTTTCTCCAACCCTTCACTTTACCAAATATGATCTTCACAAGGGATTGGTCCCTTCTGGTACATCTAAAGTAAGAGAGACGAAGTCTGGCCATCCTGGCTTCCTAGGAACATTCTGGAACTTCTTCCAACACAGATTAGTTTGTACTTTTAGCAGATCATGGTATTTTTAATATTCTTCTCCAACACCATAACTCACTTGCATCAATTCTTCTATTCCTTATTCACTGTACAACTTTCACATGCATGTGAGGTTATTAAAAATGCCACCTTACTCCTCAAATTGACATCTTTGCTCTTCAACACTTTAAAGAGATCTTGTGCAGCAGATTATACTAATGCAGTAAGTCATTTGATTTCTTGATTGCTGCTCCCATTAGTTTTGATAGTTGATCCAAGAAGAATGAAGTACTTGACAACTTTAATCTTTTTTCCATTATCTTAATGTTATTTATTGGTCCTGTGGTGAGGATTTCTGTTTTCCTTAGGTTAAGCTGCAACCCATATAGAAGGCTGTGATCTTTGATCTTCATCAATAAGTATTTTAAGTCTTCTTGACTTTCAGCAAGCAAGGTTATATCATCTGCATATCACAGGTTGTTAATGAGCCTTCCTCCAATCCTGAAGCCACGGTTTTCTTCATATGATCCAGCTTTTCAGATTATTTTTTCAGCATACAGATACAAGGTAGCGTAGTAGTTACAAATCAGGCTGCGAACCTTAGGGACAGCAGTTCGAAACCACCAGCTGCTCCGCGGGAGAAAGATAAGGCTTTCTGCTCCTGTAAAGATTTACAGCCTCAGAAACCCTGTACAGGGTCACTGAGTTGGAACCGACTCGACGACACTTAACAACAACAACAACAACAGATACAATAAGTGGCGGACGCCATCCTGCCAAGGAACAGAACAGCCTTATGCATGAAAAGTTCATTGTTTAGCAAAGCAACAATGAATGTCTCCTTGGTTGGCAAAGCTTCAAGGGATGATTCATGCAGGGGGCCCGCAGTCTCTAGTTTTCCCTTGAAAATATAGTTTATTTCTGATTTCCTTATAAGAAGTTTTAGAAAATCTTGCATAATCATTAGATACTTTAAACAAACCTCACATTATAATAGTTGCCTTTCACATTAATATTAATTTCCACATCATATTCAATCTTATGTAGTTATAAAAATTAATTTTTACATTAACAATAAGTTTTAACATTAGAAATAGCCACACTAGCTAAAGTTTTAGCAATTCAAGCTTAAATTGTTAGAAACATTCCACATAGTTTTAGTCAAGGACATTAAGGCCTTTAGAAAGCAGCTTAGGAGACAGTCAAGGGCAGTGAGAGCTTGAGAACAGAGGTAGGATTTTGATTAGAAGTTTTGAGAAATTGTTAGTATAAGAGAATTACTGCTTTGTTCTTAACTATGAAATTTTAGGGTACTTTTATGTTCTTGTTTTTATTGTTTGATCAATTATATGTAAGATCAGTTATAGTAAAAATTATGTTTTTGATTGTGAGCTGTAACTAATGAATCTATAGAAAGTAATAGATGTTGGTAAAGTTAGAAGTTAAGATGTAGAACTTTGTTTAAAAATTAACCTGACATTTTAGGGAGGATTAGAGAGAAACAGAGTCGCTCACAGAAGGCAGCCGTTATCAAGGTAACTAAGGAGTAACTAAGGAGTATAGAGATGCAGGAATGTTTGGTGACCTTGTGTTCCTCTTGTACCTTTGATGTAACAATATAATATTTGATTGATTTGTAACTGCTTGTACGTGACGATTGTGAGATCATAGTATATTCTAAATGGAATATAAGAAGCAACAATTTTGAAATAAAGAGCAGTCAGTCAGAGAGTCATCATCACCACCAGCTGCCTGAGACTCAAAATGACCCATTGACTCTTTGAGTGTTTTTTTATTTTTTCATTCACCGACTCCACATCCTCTTTCAAGAGAATCCCAATAATTTGTTGAGGCTGGTCCCCGGCAAGTAAGTATGATGAAAGAATACAACCCTGATGCACACCTTTCCTAATTTTAAACTATTCGATATTCCATTGCTCTATTGGGAAAACTGCCTCTTGGTCTATGTACAGATTCCTCATGAGCACAATTAATTGTTCCAGAATACTCATATTTCACAATGTTGTCCTTAGCTTGTCATGATCCACACAATGAAAATTCTTTGCATAGTCAATAAAGCACAGGTAAACGTCTTTCTGGTATTCTCTGCTTTTAGCCAAGATCCATCTAATGTAAGCAATGACATTCCTTTTTTCCATGTCCTCTTCTGAATCCAGTTTGAACATCTGTAAGATCTCTGTCAATGTATGGTTGCAGTTGTTTTTGTATTATGTTTAGCAAAATTTTACTTGTAGGCTATATTAATGATACTGCCTGAAGATTTCCACATTCCACTGGGTCACTTATCTTTGGAATGGGTACAAATACGGATTTTGTCCAGTCAGTTGGCCAGGTAGTTGCTTTCTAAATTTCTTGGCATAGATGAGTGAGTGACTCCAGTGCCAACTCACTTTGTTGAAGAGTTCTATTTGTATTCCATCAATTCCTGTTGCCTTGTTCTTTGTCAAATTGACCTTGAATACACCTTGGACTTCTTCCTTCAGTATCATTGGCTCTTGAAATGGCTGAACATCAACCATTTCTTTTCGATGTAGTGACCCTGTGTATTCCTTCCATCTTTTTTAATGCTTTCTGAATCAATCAATATTTTGCTCATAGAATCCTTCAACATTGCAAGTTGTGGCTTGAATTTTTTCTTCAGTTTACCCTCAGCTTGGTAAATGCTGAATGTATTCTTCCCTTTTGGTTTTCTAACGCTAGGTCTTTGCACATTTCATTATAATATTTGACTTTGTCTTCTCGAGCTGCCTTTTGAAAATTTCTATTCAGCCCCTTTGCCTCCTCATTTATTCCATTTGTTTTAGCATCTCAACTTTGGAGAGCAAGTTTCAGAGTCTTCTCTGACATCTATTTTTTATTTTTTCTTCTTCTTTGTTTTTTTAATGACCTTTTGCTTTCTTCCCATAGGATATTTTTGATGTCATCCCACAACTCTTTTACTCTTCAGTCATAGTGTCTAATGCATCCTATCTGTTCCTGAGATGATCTCTAAATTCAGGTGGGATATGTTCAAGGTCATATTATGGCTCTTGTTGACTCGTTTAAATTTTCTTCAGCTTCAGCCTGAACTTGCATATGAGCAAGTGATGGTCTGTTCCACAGTCTGCCACTGGCCTTGTTTGGATTTCTGTGTATTCCATGTGGTAAGGCCCATGTGTATAATCATCTTTTATGCTGTTCATAAAAGACATTTGCACTGAAGAAATCATTGGTCTTACAAAATTCTATCATGTGAACTCCAGCATCATTTAGATCACCAAGGCCATATTTTCCAACTACTGATCTGTCCTCTTTGTTTCCAACTTTTGTACTTCAATCGCCAGTAATTCAATATATCTTGATTGCATGTTTGTTGAATTTCAGACTGAAGAAGTTAGTAGAATTCTTTAGTTTCTTCATCACTGGTTTTAGGGTGTTATTACTCGAGTAATAAGGGTGTTCCTTGTATGGCTATGATCCTGTCACGACATTGTAGTACTTGAAGACAGATTTTGATATGTTCTTTTTGATGATGAATGTGATGCCATTTGTCTTCAATTTGTCATTCCTGGCATAGTAAACCACGTGATAGTCAGATTCAAAGTGGCGAATACCAGTCCATTTCAGCTCAGGATATCGAAGTTTATACGTTCCATTTCATTTTTGATAATTTTCAATTTTCCTAGATTCATACATTGTACATCCCATGTTCCAATTACTAATGGATGTTTACAGCTATTTCTCTTCATTTTGAGTTGTGCTCCATCAGCAAATGAAGGTCCCAAAGGTTTTACTCTATTTGCTCCATCACGGTCAACTCTGCCTTGAGGAGACAGTTCTTCTGAATCATAGCAACCCTGTATAGGGGCTCCAAGGAGTGGCTGGTTAGTTTGATCTGCTGACCTTGTGGTCAGCATTCTAGTACTTATTCTACAGCACCACACCAAGACTCCTATGGGATGTGTTGTTGTTAAGTGCTGTCATGTGAGTTCCGTCTCATAGCAACTCTGTATAGGGTTTCTGAGGTGTGACTGCAGGGTTTGAACCACCAACCTTGCAGTTCAAACTCACCTTGCAGTCCAGTACATTATCCTACAATGCCACACAAGGACTCCCGATGGGATGACAGTATACTCAAATTTTGGAACTTAACAGGATTTCTTCATTTTATTGATTAAAACACTAAGAACCAGAGAGGCTTAGAGATCTAAAGGCAAAACTAAGAAATAGCCGAGCTTCCCTTGGCTCAAATCAAACCTACATGGTGGCAAAGACCATGTCTATCTAGTTCTCCTTGCACCACTTCATAGCTATGTGGGCTGTTTTATAGTCACATGAGAAAGTCAACTGGGATAAAGAAATTAACAACAACAACAACATGTTCAATTACA